CATCCCAGCCCTGAAACAGCGGTGATGGACGGGGCGTTACGGAAGAAGGGCTGGGAGCGGCGTGGAAAAGCCATTAGAAACTTGAGCCGAGGACACGGCCCTGGGATTAGTCGCACACGGTTTGTTTTCTTTATTAAGTATCTTTTTGCTGTGGAGCCAATAAATGTGGTCTGGTACAATGATCAGCGCAGAGGTCTGTGCCGGGGAGGTGGTGCATCCTGCTCCTGGCACACAGCCAGGACCGTGGCACTTTCCTGGGGCAGGGATTTGTAACTAGTCCCTTAGGTACTGTGTTTCTCAGCTATTCCCCAAAACGTCATTCCCCATCATCGCAGCATCACCACCGGCTACGAGGGTGACACATCTATGCGGCTTTTTGAGGCCAGGGCTCTTTTTTTTCTGCTCTTCCCCTTCCAAAGTCCATTTTGTGCTGGGAACTGCTATACATTGGGTTGGAACTAGATGATCTTTAAGGTCCCTTCCAACCCAAACCATTCTGTGGTTCTGTTGTATGGGAGTGGATCTCGCATCCTGGGGCAGAAGCTCTGAAGAGCTGCCACCCTGATGATAATCGGCAGTAATTAACTTAAGGCAGGTTCGTAATTCATTTGCATGGTGTCACCGTCATCGCATGGATGGAGATCTGGAGGTGATGGTGGACTAGAAACCTTCCAGCGGGTACATCTGATGTACCCTCAGGCCAACTTGCCATCACGTGGGATCGGTGCCGTTGAACTAGTCCTGACCCTGGCTACAAGGACAATAGCTTAGCACGTTGATGCCCTTCAGAAGGGTGATGGCACAGCTTGAGAGACCATCCCTTCCTGTTTTCCTACCTGACATTCTATAAAACATAAATCCTGAGGTTTTGCTATTGCTTTCCTTGGGATCCACTTATCCTGGAAAAGCGAGTTCAACAGCTCTGCCCACCCCTCATCACCGGATCAGTGTAATTTCTGGGCATTGCTGCCCATCCCAATAAAGAATGGCTTTGGGCAAAGCATGGGGGGAAAGGGGAATTCATAGGGGTGTGCACGTCTTGTCCATGCAGATGATCTCAGCTGGCCCTTCGCCATCTCAGCTTTCAGCCTCCCTAACTCTCCATCACCCAGCAGCCCCTGTGTTCATCCCAGCCTTCAATGCCTAACAGGCTGTGCCTTTATTTTTTTCTCTCCCCCATTTTTCTTTCACATATTTTTAAAGCAATTATCAGTTGAGGGTTGTGCTAGTATTTTGTGAAAAATTACTGCCCTGGAAAGCTGTCCTGTCACTGCCTTTTCCAAAGCATGTATTCTTTGTCCGGGCCGTATCCCATCTGCAGACGGAGGTGTCCAGACAAGCATGAGTTGGGAAAAAGTTAGGAAAAAAGTGAAAACTGTTCTCGCAAACCTCTGCTTGATTGAAACATCTGTTTCCTAGGTGGTTTGCAGGAGGATGGCTGCTTAAAACAGAGCTTTCTGTGCCAGAGGAGGTCATTTTCCCATACCTGCTCTTGAATGGCATACCCAAAATAAGCATCAATGTTTCTACCAGCTTGGGACAGGCAGGAGATAGCCTTGCCTGGTGACTCGGATGCTGTGGTCTTTAGTGATGCTTTTCCAGTGCTGTCCACAGATGGAAGCGAGCCAGCTGTATCCTGGGCTCTGTCAAGAGAAGCGTGGTCAGCAGGTTGAGGCAGGGGATTCTCCCCCTCTGCTCCATTGTGGGATTCTCCCCTGGAGAACTGAGTCCAGCTCTGGGGTCCCCAGCACAGGAAAGACGTGGACTTGTTGGAGTAGATCCAGAGGAAGCAAAGGAAATGGTCCAAGGGCTGGAACAGCTCTGCTGTGGAGACAGGCTGAGAGAGTTGGGGTTGTTCAGCCTGGAGAAGAGAAGGAGGACCCTATTGCAGCCTTCCAGTACTTAAAGGTGGTTTATAAGAAAGATGGAGAGAGTTTTTATACCAAGTCCTGTAGTGACAGGACAACGGGCAACAGTTTTAAACTGACAGAGGGTAGGTTTAGACCAGGCATGAGGAAGAAATGTTTTACGCTGAGGGTGGTGAGACAGGGGAGCAGGTTGCCCAGAGAGGTTGTGGCTGCCCCATCGTTGGAAGTGTTCAGGGCCACGTTGGATGGGGCTTTGAGCAGCCTGACAGAGTAAAAGATGTCCTTGCCTGAAACAGGGGAGTTGGACTGGATGATCTTGAAAGGTCAGTTCTCACCCAAACTATTCTATGATTCTGTGAAACATGGGATTTTGGGGAAACAGCAGAGCCATGGTGCTGTTTAGAGATGACTTTACTTTGAGGATTCTTGGTGGGTTGTAGACTCACTGTTGAAGATCCATCAAAAAGAGAAAGTCATTGGAACTGGTTTTTTTAATGAATTTTCAGTGGAAAAGCAGTGCTGTCGCTATGCTGTTTCCCCCCGCCATCAACCCAGTGTCCATGTGTCCATCTGAATCCCCAGCCCTCCTGCTGCTCAACGCCATCCTCATCCTCCAGCAGACAAGCTCCTTGCTCCGCTGCTGACTTGAGCGATCGGCCCCGGGCGGCAGAGCTGCCAAACCCTTCTGCCCTTTCGAGGAGAGAGCTTCTGTGGCTCAGCGGGGTGGCCGCTTCATCCCAAAGGTCAGCACAGGGAGCTACTCCCATGCCCCCAAAGTCAAGTTATGTTAAAAGGGCAGGGGCTCACCTACATCCTGCTTCTTCGGGAAGATGCATTTTTATAAACAGATGAGAATGATCACACTGAAATCCTCACTGCATTTCTTTTTCCATGGATTTCTCCCCCAAACCCGTGCAAAATTGGAGCATCTCTGCTATGCTGTAGCAAGGAGGTTGGCAGTGTGGGTGTCCAGGTGCAGAAGGACCCATGTAGGTGCATTTTTGCTCATGGAGAGGATGAAGAGGGAAATGAGTCTTGGTGCTGTGAACCCTTCGTTGCACCGTGTTGTGGCGTCATGGTGTGGTGTTTGTTGCCCTGCCAAGGTGGACTTATTGGGTGGGGTTGGAGGGAACATCCTGGGTGGGAGTGGGTCCTCCTGAACATTGTGGGACTCGGCAGAACTTCAAGACCTCCATCCCTCAGGATACACTGGGATGAGCTCTCTGGGTTGCTGGGTGTTGCTGTCACAATGTTGGGAACAGTTGGAGATGAAGAAGAGGCTGTTCTTTCTCCCTCGCCTGGCCAGTGTTCCCAGACACCCAGATAGAAGTCGTACCTGAAAGCATCTCCTCTGCCCTGCCTGCATCTCTTCCTGCCTTTCCCGCTGCCAAAAAGTGCTGTTTCCCAGCAGAAAGCCTTATCCGGAGGAAGCTGTGGAGCACAGTGCCTGTGGTGTTGTGCTGGTGTGAGTGTTGCTACCGGGAGCCACCGAAATGCCAGGCTGGGAGGGGAGAAGCACTTTTAAGGGTGAACATCTTGATGCCATCGTTTTGCCAATGCCGTGCCATGGCCACGCTAAGCCTCCCTGGACAGGAGAGCATCGGCCAAGCTCATTCCCAGGCCCTAAGCAGAACGGGTGGAGCTCCAGCCCTGGGACACCTTCAGCAGG